CACTTTTAACTTTGTAATTTTAATATTCCAGTAAAATACTATTAAAAAAAAAAAAGAATCACCGGACAATTACGATGTTTTTCCCTCATTCATGAGTTTCTTGCCGAAATGGATCAGATGGATGGGGTAAATGTGGGAAGTTCACAATGGAAGGTCCCATGAAATTCTCTGAAAGAGGGGGGATAAGGCCTTGATCCAGTACTGATTTTTTGTTACCAGGCCCATGGAACTGAATAAACTTCATTAGGTATATATTTGACTAGTGTGTGTGATGGGGATCAGTGGCTTTAAAGGGGAACTAGACACGTTTAGAGGAGATGTTGGCCTCCACACAACTCAGGTTGGATTCTGTGAGGTCACTGTTCAGTATCTAGTGTATACTGCCTTTTATTTCCTAGCCTACTGCGGTTTCCACTCCTTTTTCCTCATGCACAGGGCTCAGGAAATTTTGCCTAGTCCCTGCCCTCCCTTCCCTCCCCAGTGCTTAGCTGGCAGAAATTTGTAATCCAAATTCCCTGATATTAATGAAGGAGCAGCAAGAAGAAAACAGTGACGGGCAGCTTATTGTTCACCTGTGAATCCACCCTTCTCTTTGGATGATGAGTGAGACTTACTCCAGCAAGGGCTTAAGAAATGTAGTCAAAGATTTTACCTCAGACAAGATTTGTCTGACTCTACAGGAAGCATTTTTTAAAAATGTATGGCCATCTCCTACAATTGGGGTAAGAGAGCTGTCAAGAACACGCCCTCTAGATGTGTGGGCTCTGTTGACTGGCTACGATGGAAATTGTATTCTGATGCTTCTGAATTATATTCTGATGCAAAGTGCAGAAAAGGAGTGAGCAATAGTAAGTCAAAGACATTTAAAAAAAGGAAGAAAATATGTTAAATCTGGTGTACACCAATTATGTACTGTTCCATTCTGTTCCATCCTTACAAATGATCCTTCCTTCCATTATGTCCATACACTAATACGTACTCTTTATTTCCATCATAAACTGCTGTTATTGCATTCAGCAACCAACCTTCAGCTCCATATTTGTTACATGGAACATTCTGAGTTCATATTTGCCATGCACAACATGTGTGTGTGTATGTGTGCGCGCGCACGCCTTTGAGTCACTGTTGACTCCTGGCGACAGCCTGGATTAGTTCCTGCAATTTTCTTGGCAAGATTTCAGAAGTGGTTTAATTCAAGCTTATTCACTTTATCATACTCTTTCTCTAAATCAACAACCATATAATAAGTTTTCTTTCTCATACACATTTCTCAGTGACATGCTGAAGTGTGAAAATGTGATGTGCACATCCCTTGCATGGTACAAAGCTTTGCTGCACTTCCCAAATTTTGCTCACTCTCATTTCTCATATTTTTTACAATCAAAATTCTGTTACTTTCGCAGGAATAGTTAACAAAATAATCGTATAATTTGGCGTTCATTCTGGCTACCTTTTTTCTTTGAATAGGGAGCAGTAACAGCAGTCTGCCAATTGTCAGACATAGATGCAATCTTAATGCACATTAAAATAAGTTCTGCAGCTATTCCATAAGCAAACCACATCTTTATTTTATTTTCCCTTTTTTTCAATATTCTCCAGGTACACCATCTATTCCTACTGTGTGACCATTTTTGAATGACTTCCTGCTTGTGCCACAAAGTGCCCCCCATATACACCTACAGTTAAAAAAGGGCAGATTCAGGGCAAATGATGGCTTCTTGTGTTGTGCACATCCTTCCATTTGGTTTGTAAATCATGATTTAGGGTTCAAGGGTATTGCACACACTCAGCTAATGCTAAACAAACTTATGGCTGAGCACAATTTGGCTAAGCGCGCAAGGATCTCCCCCGCCAACTTTATTTTTAAATTCAAACTAATGGCATTGTTGAAACGGAATAGACTTTCAAGTAAACATTGAAAGGAATTTTGTTGTAAAACTGAGCTAGGATTCTTACCAGTTGTGGGCCTAAGGAAGTTTCCGCTTCCTCAGGTTTCCTTTCCCTATCTGTTCATGTCCTGTCAACCTATTTTCCTCTGTAGCTAGAAGGTGAGGAGTCTGTGCTCCTGGTTCAAAAGCCCCCTTGCAAACAAAGACTTTGCAGCTAGGTTGGCATAAAAGAGGCCTTGAATAACCTCCCTCGCGCCGCAGATCTCAGGGAAAAGTCTACATGGAAAGCCCCACTGTGGGAGAAAATGAATCAGCCCCATTGCTGGCAGAGCATCACAGTTTCACTTCTCTCTTGCAAGAAGAGGAAGTTGGCATGATTCTTGGGGAGGGGTGTGAATCGAAGCAGCTTGAGCGTTCTTTTTTATTTTTATTATCGCCTTCCTTTGCCCGATCTTTTATAATTAGATAATTTTAGCCTCTGTGTGTAATAGTTCGTATTGGTTGGGGGAGGAATTTCTCTTGAAAGAAACATTCCAAGGTTTAAAACAGGGAGGTAGCCTGTGGGATGCATCTGGCCTTTCTGGGGTCCCATTGCACCCTCAGATTAGGCCATCAACACATTAGCAAAGCCACTGATTTGGAGCAGTACGAGTTTTCGCATTTTTTATCCCCCATCCTCAGCACTGCTCAGTGGGTGCATTCGCTTGAGTGAGATGTTTGTACCATTAAAGCCCAAGCTGACAAGTTCACCAAATGGCCAAATTCTTTTGGCATAACCCCAGTCACATCACTAGGACACATCACCAGGCCAAATCGACAACCATGGATGGAAACTGAAATCATTGAAAAACCATTGCAGGTGCTGCAGGAAAAATTGGAAGGCCTACCCAAAGGTGCAGGCACTGTAGACTGCCTGCTTCTGGTTTCAGAGTCTTGTTTATTTCAAATTCTTTAAGTTCTTAAGCTTATAATTAATTTTTCTTTCGTTCAGAGTTGAAGATAAGACTCATTGATGACTTCAGACTTGTCGTTCCAAAGGTCTCTAATAGCTTTAAGATAGTTAATAGGCAATTTCCGATGAGAAAGTGACAATCAGACCATATTTTAAAAAGATGTATAAAACCAATACAATTAAATTAACAAAATCCACAGTCAGGGTCTAAAAACAATCTTCTATGCTCAGAGTGGCCACTGTATGGGTTCCACTGCACCTCCAGATCTCCACACCCAGTGGCACAGCAACATCTTTAAGGCCTTGCAGAAGAAGGCCAGTAGTGTTGGGGCCCATATGACCTCCACAGGTAGAACTTCTTCATGATGACAAGACCCACAGCTTAATTGCAAGTCTCTGCAAAGAGCTTGCCTAGTCTTCTAGCGAAGAGACTTCCTGCAAGTGCTTGGATTCCCTTCTCCCTTACAAACCTGCTTGCATTTTTAAAGCTAGGTCATCTCTTGGATTCCCATGGTTGCAGAGGATAAGCAGGTGGTGGCACCTGGGGAACCATTCCTTTCTCCCTATGGTAACACTACATTGACAGATGCCATAGCAGGGAGTTTTTCCTCTAGTATGACTGAGTTGTCCAGCTGCTGATTCCCCCCCCCCCAATCATTTAGAGTTCATTTGAGTGGGTCAGTAGAATGTGTATCAAACCAGGAAATGAAAGTATTTCCTGCTTCCCTATCCAAGGAAGACAACTAGCTTTTTGACTTGCTGGCATATCAGATAGTCAAACATGGTTGGCCCCATCTTGATGCAGACTTTGCTTTCTTGCAGGCAGAGAAGCATTGCGCCAAGTGGATCCCCAGCTCCCCACAGGCCAACTCTGTCTCTGTGAGCCTCTACTATGAATCCCTCTGTCCTGCCTGCCGCCAGTTCCTGGTAATGACGCTCTTTCCCACTTGGCTGATGCTGAATAACATCATGAATGTCACTTTGGTCCCCTATGGGAATGCAAAGGTAGGAGCATATTCCTGGTTCCAGCAAAATGACTGAAGGTTATGGAGAGGATTCCTTGCCGAGCAGTCTCCTCAACTCCATTTATCATCTTGCAGGAGAGTAAAGAGGCCGCAAAATGGCACTTTGAATGCCAGCATGGTGAAGACGAATGCCTGGGGAACATGATAGAGGTCTGTGCTTCTGCGATACTGAAAGAATGAGAAGGTGGGCGGGGGGGGGGGGATTGGGGAAAG